GCGTGCGCGTGCACAGCGCATGTATAAGTGCTCAAGTATCTGTATGAGTATGTGGAGGCCAGAGTTTGTTTTGTTTTGTTTTGTTTTGTTTTGTTTTGAGCCATGGTCTCTCACTGAATCTGGAACTATGCTTCATCTAGACTGGCTGACTAGACTAATCTGGAATCCTCCTGTTTCCATTTCCCAGCACTGGAATTATGGCACATGCCACTATATACAGCTTTTGACACAGCTCTGGGGATCTTGCCTGCAAGCAAGAACTTTACTGACTGAGCCATCTCCCAACACCCCTCTCATACATTTTATTGATGCCAATAAATGCCAGGCACCACAGCAAACATTTGATGGGCTCTTTGGTTACAAGTCCAGTGTCTGCTTATCATGGTATCTCTAGCCACAAATCTCAGTGGCCCTAAATGCTTGCCTCCATAAAAATGGAGAAGACACCCAAAGATAAAAAAAAAAAAAAGGGGGGGGGGGCTCCAACTCCAGGAAGAAACACATCTAAGGCTGAGCAGGAAGAGGCCCAGGACAAACAGTAGTTCCCCACATTCCTCATTCTCAAGATACTGAGTGTCCAAGATCTCCAGCCCTCAAGGCAGCCTGGGTCATGAACAGTAAGCCACACATGTGGCCTCCAGGGTAAGATGCTGGGTGACAAGAGGCAATTGCCTGAGCTGAGTCCAGGCATTAAGACCTAACATGGACTCTCAATGGAGGGCAGGTCTACCCACCAGAGGATGTGTGGCAGTATCTGGAGACATTACTGTGACAGTGCAGGGAGACAGCCTCGGGGCCAGGGAAGCTGTGACACACACAAGTATACCCAATACACTTCCCATAGCAAGACCTTCTCCCACTCAATGATGTCCAGGAAGCTGAGGTGGAAAAATCAGGGCTAACTGCACTTTTCATAAGAAATAAAGGGCAGAAGGGGAACAGCCCAAAGCCAGGCATGACGACACAGAGCTGTTATCCCAGCTATTCCGAAGGATGAGGTAGGGGATCACAAGTTTGAGACCAGCACAGGCTCCATAGTGAGACCAAGGCCAGCTTGGGAAAAGCAATGAAAGCCTATCTCAAAATAAAAGAAAAATAATCTGGAGAGTTGGAGAGATGGCTCCATGGCTAAAATAATTTGCTATTCTTCAAGAAGACCAAAGTTCAGTTTCCAGCACCCACATCGGGCACCTCACAGCCATCTGTAACTCCAGCTTCAGGAAACCCAACCCTCTCTTTGAGCTTCTACAAGTACCTGCATACACATGGCTTACATGCATGTATGCACACACAAACATATGCACACATGCACATGCATACACCCATTTAAAAAACAATCTTTAAAATGTCTTTAAGAGAATTAAGACATAGCTTGTAGCTCGGTGACAGGGGTTGGCTCACTGGTAGTGCACCTACCTAGAATCCTCCAGTGACGGGCTGGGGTGTGGCTCAGTGGTAGAGCTCCTGCCTAGAATCCCCCAGTGAGGGGCTGGGGTGTGGCTCAGTGGTAGAGCCCCTGCCTAGAATCCCCCAGTGAGGGGCTGGGGGCATCTCAGTGGTAGAGATCAATGAACCTAGCATATACAAGCCCTTAGTTCCATCTCTAATACCACACACACACACACACACACACACACACACAGTGCGGGGAGGGAGGGAGAGAGAGGTTCCAAACAGCCCTGCTGACCTCACACTTGCTCTTGCCATGATTATAAGCAAGCCTTATCCCTCACCCTTCCTAAGGTGCTGACAAAAACCACATGGCCCTGCCATCACCCTCCCCACAGTGCATGTAAGTGATTGTCATCTTTATCTCAATGACAGGACACAGAGCCCTCTCCTCATGGCACAGGCCCTAAATTCCAGCCCCTGGGAAATTACCAAGAACTGCCTTCCAGCCCAGCCTGCTCCACATCCACCTTTGCCTCCCTCCCAAACAGCCCGTATTTTGATAAGCTGGAAAATCAGGAAATCACAGCACCAAAAAAAAAAAAAAAAAAAGGCAATGTTTATGGAAAACAGAACCCAAACACGACAAAGGGCATTTCCATGGTGCGCTGCAAGCACAGCAGTGATTCACAAGAGGCGGGTAAGCTGCCAGCTGGAGCCTGGTTCCCGCTCCCAGGGCAGCTTGGCTCCAGGCATCAGCCATCCAGGTGCTTCTACTTCGTAAGCCTAAAGAAGCTCCTAAAAGCCTAGAGCAGCCTCTACTGTGGCAACAAGAATGGGGCAGAGCCTGGCTCCGTGACAAATGCCTGTAGTCCCAGCACTCAGGAGGCAGAGGCAGCCTGATCTCTGTGAGTTCAAGGCCAGCCTGGTGTACACAGTAAGTTCCAGGCCAGGTCTGTCTGTCGTGGGGTCACTGTGCCGTGTTACCTGGGTGTCTGCAGGGCATCTTTGGCTCCTAACTGAGCCAGGCCTGCTCCTTCCTTTGCATCTCCCTAGGCCTTACCAGAGGCTCTAGAGTATGCTGCAATGCCAAGTACAAAGCACAACGGCTGAGGCTCTAGCTCAGTGGCAGAGCACTTGCCTAGCATGGGTGAGGCACTAGGTTCAATCCCTAGGACTGCCAGAAAAAAATTTAAAAAAGAGGGGGAGAAGGAGCCGCGGCAGGATGGGTATGCCTGTGGCAGCTAATCTAGCATAATCCTCACAGCCCTTGCCCTGACCAAAAGGCACAGGGCACCTTCATCACACCCAGAGAGAATGGCAGCCAGGAAAGTCATCCCTTGGGCTGGGCCTGCTTGGGCAGTAACATGACCCCCTAAGGCCCAACAAGTGGGTCACTCAGCCTGACCAATGAAGAATGGACTCTTTATTGGAGAGGTTTCCGTAGCCACCAGGGGAGAGAGGCTTTGAGCTGCAGAACTTCCTCCGGCCTGGCCTCATGTGAGCGGTGTTGAATGAGTGGACAGAGAAAAATCCACACTGCACTCAGAGCAGCCAGCAGCCACTACACCCCAGAACAAGCTCGCCAAAGAGCCCCCTCACTCAGGTGGCACAGGACAATGGCCTAATGACAGACAGACCCACGGTACTGGGCACCAGCGGCAACCCCTGCGTCTCATCAGGCCTGCTCTGTGCAAAAGAATGTCCACAATGTTGCTCCGGGGGCTGAGGAGATGGCTCAGTGAGTAAGAATGCTTGTTGTGCAAACACGAGGACGTAAGTTCAAATCCTCTGCACCACATAAACTGCTAGGTGTGGCCTTGGGCCTCTAACACTCACTGTGAGTGTCACGCAGAGGAAGACCACAAGCCTGTTCCAGGCTCAGTGCAGGACCCTGCCTTAAGGGAGTAAGGGGGAGAATGATACAGGGCAGGGTGCCTCGGTGTTCACACACAGGTACAAACACCTACACATGCACCACACACACCTTACACAAGCAAAAGGAAAACAAAGCAATGCTCCACATACCAATATCAAGGTCCTGAGCTCGAGGGCGTGGGTGCATGTTCGTGCATATGTGTACAAGCTCACATCTGCATGCATATGCAGCTCCAGCCCACATGACCTCTTCCCTCAAAAACCTCTCTTTTTGACTAAACAAAGATTCTACACACACACACACACACACACACACACACACACACACGTGGATAGATGTATAATTTTTTTTTTTAAACAAAGGGCCAGTGAGATGGTTTAGTGGGTAAAAGCATTTGCTTCGCAACCCAAGCTGGACACAAACTCTCCCCTTTCTTGCCCTGGCCTCCTGACTGCTGGGATTACACCTGGCTATGGGAAGTCTATGAAAACAGAGCATGGGGTTGGGAGGCTGGCCAACCGGGCACCTGCTGCCTAAGCCTAAAAACCCAGAGCTAGAGTCCCAGAAAATACCATGGAAAGAAGGAACTGACTCCACAAAGCTGTCCTCTGACCTGTGAGTGTGCCATAATATGCACACGCACACACGCGCTCCCGCACACACACTATATATGTATGTGTATATATATATATATGTATAATTTTTTTTTTAAATAAAGGGCCAGTGAGATGGCTTAGTGGGTAAAAGCACTTGCCATTAAGCCTGATCTCCTGAATTCGGTCCCTGGGACCCACGTGGTGGAAGAGAACTGGCTCGCAGTTTGATTTCTGACCTCCACACTGACGCCTGCCTTCACTAATCTCCCGACACAAATAAGCGCTCACATTATTAAAACAGAAACAAATCAAAGTTTTGAAAAAGCTGTCATCATGAAACCTATCACTTTGTGTCCTAACGTTAAAGAAAGCATGTGGCTGGAGATGGCTCGACATTGAAGCATGTATATTGCTCTTGTAGTGGCTCTGGGTTCAAGACCCATTATCCACAGCAGCTCACAACCATCTGGAACTCCAGGCCCTCACAGGGTACATATCCACACACATAAAACAAATCTGAATTTTTTTGAAAAAGTTAACTAAAAACTGTAATAACCTCTGGCAAAATAACTGATTTCTATCCACTAATTGGATAGCAAAGCGACGGGCACCAAGCCACCAAGCACGTCCTTGCGCCCATAGCAAGGCAAGCACCTGCTCCTGAGGCCCGAGAGAAGTATGACAACTGCGCCCAGGTCACCTGAGACGCTGACTAACGTCCTGCATAACTTCATGAGGGCACTTGGCACCAGAGGCCCTCAGGCTGGTAGTGTCATGAGAGTCTGTGGAGGATCCTTCGCTGCCCTTCTACCTAGTCGCCCTGAGACTCCTGGCATACCTGAGTGGGACTCACCCTGTGGCAGGTCACTGACCCGGAACCCACGGGTCTCTGGGACTAACGGACCAGATATGGCCTGGCACACTACAGAAGGTAGCTGAAGCCGCTGAAACGGGCCACCACGTGCCTGGCAGTCAATGTACATGTCCAGTGAGGTTACTCAGACCTCTGGGGACATCAATGACTAATGCAGGCCCACTCCCGTCAAACCAGCCTCACCTTCCCCCATGTGCTGTCCCCTCTGCCTGTCACCCTCCCAGCCTCCCTTCCATGCTCAGACCCCGCGCCCCTTCCTCACCTGCTGTGGTGGTATCCACGTCCCTCGCTGCCATCTCTTCCACATCAGACCTCTTCCTCAGCTCAAACCTCCGGGACAAGCCTTCTCGGGGCTTCCATAACTCCTGGATCAACAGGGGTTTCTCATTGTCCCCAAACACTCGGAAGCACTGGGCCTGCCACCGCTGTCCAGAGTCCCCAGCCTGGCCCACAACGTCACAGAGCACATACTGGCCAGCACAGCCAGGGTCCAGGGCATAGCGCTCTAGTGCCTCTTTCACCAGCTCCTGGGCGCTTGAGGTGCCAGTGGCCAGAACACTCTTGTAGTGGGTGCCTGTGCAGACACTGTCCCCAAACACCTTCAAGACGCCAGGGGCCGAGAGCTGGGTAGAGAGCTCCGCGGGGTCATCGCTGGCACCCAGGCTGCACAAGGTGGAGTCCAGGTCACGGTACTTGTAGCTCAGTGTCCGGGACAGCATAGTGGACAGCAGCTGGCTCTGTCGCTTTAGCTTGTTCTTCGTGGGAGGAGACATGATGAACTGAGTCCCATAAAACATGGTGGGCGAGTCTTCATGAATAACCACTGAGGCTTTCAGCCAACAGCTGGGGGAAGGCCGGAGCCTGGGAGAACAAAGGGATAAGGTTAGGGCAAGTGTCAGCGTATCAAGAGCAAAAGAGACACGAGTCCATCTCAGCCCAGGGAACACTTCCGGGCCATCCCAGCATCCACACCACCTGGAGCCAGGACCCCAGCAATGGCACTAAGTCAGAGCCTGTGAGGTGCAAGGTTCAAAGCAAGTCTGACAGAGTGCTTTCAGGGAAAGCCACTATGAAGAAGCACGAGGAAGTCACAGTAAGCCATAACTGCCTTCAGGCTGCATGACTTCTGAGAAGGGCTGGGAACAGCACTGCAAGTGGACAGGGGACAAACACACAGTCTCAGCAGGGCTGACTCTCTGTCCTGGCGGACATGCCCACCATTTAGCCAGGTCACAGCCAGAATAACAACATCAACAACAAGAAACAAAAAGCAAGCCATATTCAACTTGGGGACAGAGTTCTGTCCCTCTGTAGGTTCACTTTTTTCTATGCCAGTCTATACAAAAGACAAAGCTCAGCCCAAACAAACACTTGCAGAGCTAGGGAAATGGCCACAGCTACAACTATTAAAATAAAAAATAAAAATAAAAATAAAAAGCCTAGGACTGGAGAGATGGCGCAGTGGCTAAGGGCACTTGCTGTGCACACATAAAGACCTGAACTCAGATCTCCAGCACACGTGTAAAAATCTGAGCATGGCTATGCACACACCTATAACCCAGCAGCGTGAGGGGCAGAGACAGAAGACTGGCTGCCAACCTAACGCTAAGCTCAGAGAGAGACCCTGTCTCCAAAGAATAAGGCTGAGAATGAAAGAGCAGGTCACCTGATGTTCCTCTCTGGCTTCCATGGACACGCCTGCACTCCCCCCCACACACACACACAACAACAACACAAACCCCAAGAAAATGCTGCTCCCCATGACCTGGCAGAGGAAACTGGTCCTGACTAGAAGAGATCCCTGACGGACGGCGGAGGCTGGTCCCAACTGAAGAGATACTTCCGTAGGCCTGAAGCTGACCTGTCCACTAGGTCACTAGGCCTTGAGGAACCACAGAGTGCTCCACAGCCCGTGGAGACATTCTTGGAATGCTTGCACTCCACCCACCACAGCAACCACCCGGCCACTGGGCCCCCCCAGAGCGAGGCCGGCTCCCCAGGAGCTCCGAGGGAGCAGCGAGAGGCTGCCTGGCGCAGAATGCTAAGCCTAATGTCCTGTGGGGCTCAGAGGTGGAATTGCCCATCTTCCTCACAACGGTCTGCAGTGGCTGGGGAGCCCAGAGAAGGAAATGGGGGCTTTCAGCTCTGCCACCAGCCAAGATGAGGCAGAAAGGCTGCATGCACTCATCTCCTGACGACCACACCCACTCCTGCACCACAGACAGGCCAGCCAGATTGGTGAGGCAAGAGAGGAGCTTCTAGAAGGCTCACCCCAGACAAGTGTGTTCAGCCTGCAGCCCTGGGGCTGCGCGCAATCGAGGATTAGTTGCGAATGACACCCAACACAAAACTGTAAACATTTAAAACCCGGGCTTTTTGGTGGTTCGGCTTGGTTTTGCGCAGTGCCTGACTGTCTGCTTTATAGATGACGTCACGTTGCGATGTGAAAAGGTTGAACACACCTGCTAGTGACTCAGGACCCAGAGAAAGCACCAGAGACCTGCCACCCTGACTCCAGCCAGCCAGCTCCACTGGAGTCCCCGGCTGCCACTCACCCACATTTTTATGGGTTGGAGAAGCAGCAGCTGAAGGCAGAACCACCCAAGGAACTCTTCAAAGGACTCTCACAGAGCTAACAGGAGTGGGTAAAGGCCCTGGCCACCAAGCCTGCTGACCTCAGGCTGACCCAGCAGCCACAGCAAGAAGGGGAGAGCCAGCTCCCAAAAATTGTCTTCCCATCTCTCTATGTGTCATTGTCCGTGCACACATGCAATAATAATTTTCAAGTAGAAAAAAGATTCTTGGGTCTAGAGAGGGCGCAATGCTTAAAAGCATGTGCTGCTCGTGCAGAGGACCAGGGTTTGGCTCCCAGCACCACATGGCATCCCACACCTCTAAGTAACCCCCATTCCACAAGATCTGAGGCCGTCTTCTGACCTCTGAGGGCACCAGGCCCACAGGGCACACGTCCTGCATTCAGGCAAACACTCATAAAGTAAATCTAAAAACTAAACAAGTTTGTTTGTTTAAAAAAAAAGACTGAGTTTAGTAAAGCAGAGTGTGTGGTCCCCATCATCTGTCAGGAGGTGAAGGAACAAGGGTCGACCTGAGTTACACAGGACGCTCCAGGCCAGCCTGTGAACAAGAGACCCCCCTCTCAAACAAAATAAAACAAGACAAGGCAAAACCAACCAGCAGGGAGCCAGATGTGGCCACCCGTGCCTGTAACCTTGGAATCCCAGCAACTCAGAGGAGGCTGAGGCAGGAGAATCTTCAGCTGGAGGCCAGCCAAAGCTACTCACCAAGTCTGAGGCTACAAACACAGGAAAATCCTGTCTCAAAGCAAAGACCCCACAGGGAGCCAAAAGCAACTGCCCTACCTCCAAACTGACACTGAGGATCGGATTTCTTCCGGCTCTTTGCCTGAGGCCTCTCCCCACCAGCAGCACCTTCAGGAAGGAAGCCAAAAACCAGGCCGCCAAACCTAGTGCTTCAGAGCCTGCTGGCCTGGGTGCCTGGGCGTTGTGGGAGGAGTGTGAGCTCTCCAAGACCCTCCTGAGAGCTTTAGGCGCTCAAGCTGGAGCCCCCAAAACTAGCAACAGCCCTGTGGGATAGTCTCTGGGTCCTATCAGAAGCCGCTGCCCACCACAGAGCCTTAATAACGTACCCATTTCCTGAAGACTTGAGCTTACCTATAAATAGCTGGTGTCCAGAGAAAGTGGACAGAAAAGGGAATACAGAAGATTCTTTGGGGTCTCACTGAAGAAAGTCATGGAGGGGTCAAAGCATCGATCGTGTCTCTTCCCCTGAGGATCCTGTGACAAGCCTCGACAGCAACCCTGAGAAGCCTAGAACTGACTATGCTCCCCTGCATGTCACTGTCACTTACAAAAAAAACATTTTCAAGGAGCTGGCGAGATGGCTCAGTGGATAAGGGTGCTGGCTCTGCAAGCAAGAGGACGGGAATCCGAACCCTAGCATCCATGTACAAAGCTGGGCCTGGCTGCACACGCCTGACCTCAGCACTGGGGCTAACATACGGGCTCTGTGGACCGAGGCTCCTCCAGCAGAGATGTCCTCTGTGCTTCACAGAAGTGGCGGGGAGAAAGAAATGTGGGGCCGTGTCGTCTGACCAAGTGTGCTGGCCATGGAAGAGGCAGCTAGACAATGAACGCCGCCAGCTTCGGTTGGTCCGGCCTCTGCTTGTGTGGGACTGGCACACACATTCCCACACGCACTCCCGTGCCCCTCTCTGTCTCTGTCCTCTCTCTCTCTCAAACACACACACACACGATCACCTGTGCATCACATGCAACCATGGGAATTAAAGTTCCCTGTCCAGAAGCTACATGAAATGAAGACAAGACGACCCTGAGATCCGTGCCTCAGAAACACAAGATGACACCTCCCGAGTAACCACTCCAAGCCTGAGCTGGGCCCCTGCTTGGCCCACACCCCTTCCTTGGAAGCCTCTAGACCAGCGCACATTCTCGGATGACACGGGCTCCACAGCACTTCCACGAAGCACAGGGGACGTGTCTGTTGGAGAAGCCTCTGTCAGAAGTCTAACCCAGGAGGGCAACAATGCGGCCTCAGCCACTGACGCCTGTGGCCAGCTTCTGGAAACCGCGTCCAGAAGTAAACGGAAACACAATGCCAAAAGGTGCTTGAGCGGGAGAAAGGTCACAAGGAAACCTCCAGTGTTTAAAAGGGCCAGATCCAATGCAGAAGTCAATGGGCATCTTGTGCAGGCTACACATGCTGGGCAGGCTGGTACAGTCTAACTGTAGTCCTGCTCTAACAAAGCAGAAATGTTAGACTGGGCATGGCAGTGCACACCCAAAATCCCAGTCCTCCGGAAGTTAGAGGCAATAGGAGCAAAAACCCAAGGTCATCCTCAGCTACCCAGGCCACTATCAAAAGCGGAGAGTGGGGAGGAGAAATGGAAGCTGGCATGGCTCACATGGAATAGTGGCTCTCAGAAGGCTACGGCAGGATTGCATGGCAAGGCCTGCCTGGGGTATATAATAAGTTCCAGACCACCTGGGGCTGAGAGACCCCATCTAAAAGGAAGTAATGGGGACAGGGATGTACCTCAGTTTCCGGCATGCATGAAGTCTTGGGTTCCATTTCCAACACTGCACAAACCAGGCACCCTGTAATGCCAGTATTCAGGAGGTAGAGACAGGACAATCGGAAGTTCAAGGTCATTGGGCCTTCAAGATGGCAAAGGTGCTCGCTGGCAAGCCTGACATTCAAATGCCACACATCACATGCTAGACAGAGAAAATGGACTCCTAAAAACTGTCCTCTGACTTCCACATGAGCACTAATTAAGCATGTGCAAGCATACACAGAGAAGTAATAAATTTAAGTATTAAAAATTTAAAGCATGTGAACATAATGAAAGAATAAATAAGTCAACGTAAAAAAATTTAAAAAGAAGTTCAAGGTCATCCTAGGCTATGCAAAGAGTTTGGGCTCTTTGGCTGGGCTACACAGTTCTGCCTCACAATATATACATTAATAAGTGAGAGGAAAGAGAAATGGAAAACTACAACTACATAGTTCCTAGCTCCTCTCCTGGGGTCTTGGGAGTAAGGGGTGCAGGCTGGAACTCCAGAAGTAACCTCCTCCTATGCAGAGGGATTCTAAGACAGAGTTAGCAAAAAACGGTGACGAGCAGGAGGTGACATAAACTGGGTGAATGTGACTCAATCTTCTTAACCCCAGAGTCCCAGTGAATGCTGAGCTCTTGCTTTTTTGAGGCTCTCCAGAAAGCTCTCCTTTATGACCATCCTCCCCACGGCCACTACAGACAGTGGGCCCTGCGGGTGGCCACCTGCTCACAGGCCACTTCCCTTCCTAACCACAGAATCAAGAGTGCAGCCTGTTTGTCCAAACTGGACAAAAATGTTTCTCAAAAGGCCACTTGGAATTCAGGGAAAGTCCTACAGAGGAGAGCACGCCCTGGGTAACCAGATCTGTTTTTCTGGAAGTATGACCTGTCTTTTCCTTTTCTGCCCAATTCTCGCCTCTGGCACACAAACATTTGGGGACACCTCAGGTCCTGGAGAGTCACAGTCCATGCACGGCCCTCGCTGTGGCTGCCTCAGGAACTGTCTGTCCCTTTCCTTATCCTCCAAGAAGAATCGCATTTCTGCTTTAAGAAACAAAAAACCAACCAGCAAACAAAAAACCCCAAGGTTAAGTCACAGCGACCAGGCAGGCAGTGAGGTCAGTGACGGCTGACATGGGTGGAGGGACGTGTCTTTTCCAGCAGGACAATGTGGAACACATTATCATTCCACCAGAAGAAAAAAAACGAGCAGTCAACTTTGCAGGCGGTGCTTTAACCGGCCCCCCTCATCCGCAAATCCTATCTTTATGGCTCAGGCTGGAGGGAGGCTTCAAATGCGAGCATAATTCAATCAGGTTTCATTTGGCCCGCTAGTCACTTAGCAAAAAGGGACTGACTTCCCCCTGCGGGATCAGAGGCAAGCTCCTCTCTGGAATTCACAAGAGGTGGCCAGCAGCTCCGAGACACCGGTAATCAAATTCTTTTTGGCAATTCAGATTAACCAAACACTCGGCAGGAGACAGAGGCTGGCCGGGCAGGTCTGCAGCCTGTCAGGCCCCCACCCCGGGGCTCCCCAGGGACAGAAGCCAGATCCCTCTGAGGGCCTCGGAGCTCCAGCTCAGCATCTGTCTCGGGCGCTGCACTTGTCGGGGGGCTGGCTGGAAAATGGTACAGAAATAGCTGGAGAAACAATGCCTCTCGCGGGCACACGGGTGGGGAGGCGACACGACGCGGGACGGGTGTAGGCGGGGGTGTCACCACCATCCTGGTGGAAGAGTGCGGGACTCCCGCCTTGAGCTCTTTCGGGACGCCTCAGGTTAGACTGCACCCCCAAGGCGCTACCAGGGAAACTGAGGCCCGGAAGGGCCCCTCTGCCACGAGTGACGAAACCCGGATCGCCCCTGGAAGCCCTCGGGGCCACGCCACCCGCGCCCACCCAGCCTCCGGGTGCAGATCCCCCGGGCCTCTCCAGGTCCCGTGCGCTCGCCGGTTTCCATGGCAACCGAGCAAGCCTGCCTCTATCGCGCCCGGACTCGCCGCGGGGACCGTGACCAGCGCGGCCCCGCCCCAGCGCGTGCCCCGCCACCCGTGTCTCAGCCCGCGGTCTCCTCCGCGCCCTCCGCGCCCTCCGCGGGTCCCCGCAGCCTCCCCAGCGCCACTTCCTGGGCCACCCTCGGCCTCCGCCGACCTTCCTCCTCGCGCCCCGCACTCACCTCTGCGCAGCCCGTCAGCCGCGTCCCCCGCGCGAGGCTCCCACGCCCGCCGTTAGCCGAGCTGGCGCCCGGCTCGAGGCGCCTCCTGCCGGCCGCGCAACGGACGGGGCGAGGCCTCGGAGGGGGCGGGGCCAACGGGGGCGGAGCCTATGAGGGCGGGGAGCCGGGCGAAGGGACTGAAACCTGACACCTCGGCGCCCAATGGGCGGAGACGGAGCCTCTAGTGGGCGGGGTCAAACGCATTGGGGCTGGCCCGGCCGTCTGGGACTGATAGGTTGTGCACTACCGCCCCCTTCTGGTAGCCAACGGTAGGGCCGATTCCCAAGGAGAGGGGGCCTTTGAGTGGGCGGGGCCTGGTGAAGGGGCGGGGCTGCTTTTTCTTAGCAAGCTCGGGGTTTCTCACAGGGCGGGGTCTCAAGCAAGAAGGGCGTGGCCTAGGCCCCCCCCCGTCTGCCCCTTTGGAGCTGTGAGCTCTATTTTCACGGAGGCAGTGGTGTTTGCCCTCCGCCCCATATAGTGGACAAAGGTGGAAGGGTGGACAAAGGTGGACAGGAACATAACTGTGTCCTTTGATATTTATGAATATACATGAAACTGACTGGGGTCAGGGAGGCCAGAATTTCATTTAATATATTTTTATTTATTCATTGACACTTGCATATGTATATATACTGTGTGTTATCCAGATTTGGCCCCATTTCTTTAATTCAATATATTCTTTGTAGAATTTTATTTTATATTGTAAACAGAGTCTCATATCCCGGGCTGGCTGCCTTGCACCCCTGACGTTACCGACTCCGCCTTCCTTGCGTTGGGATTACAGACTTGCACTCCCGTGCCTAGCTTGTGTATCACCAGGGCCCCGCGTAGCTGGTGTAAAACCATGCAAAATGGCAGGGACCAAAATGTCTTCCTAGTAACTTGTCTTTGCTTTGACTTAGCCCTGCTATGTCTGTGAGTACAAACTGCAGACCCCGACCCTAGAAGCACGTCTTTTTGTTGACAGTTTATAGAGTACAATGCTGTAGAGCTGTAGTTCTCGACCTTCCCAACGCTGAAACCCCCTAACACGGTTCCTCACTGTGGTGGTTTGAATAGGAACGGCCCTATAGACTCCAGTGTTCGAATGCCAGGCCCAGAGCGAATGGCCGTATTAGGAAGTGTGGGTCTTGCCGGAGGAAGTGTGTCACTGTGGGGCGGGCTTTAAGGTCTCCTACGCTCAAGCTGCACCGACTGTGACATCTCCGCAGCTCCTTCTCCAGCACCGTGTCTGCCTGCAGGCTGCCATGCCTCCATGATAACAGACGAAACCACTGAAACTATAAGCCAGCCCCAGTTAAAAGTCTGCCTTTCTAAGAGTCGCTGCGGTCGTGACGTCTTTATGCAGCAATGAAACCCTACTAAGGCAGCCATGTTGTGGTGACCCCCAACCACAAAATTATTTCATTGCTTCTGCGACTCGCTGCTGTTAGGAATCGGAATGTAAATAGCTGATATGCAACCCCCCAGTGGCTGTCACCGCAGGTTGGAAAATGTGGGGTAAAGTAATGACCCCACGTTTGAGACAGGGGAAGGGGACAGACCCGGATGGGCCACCCTTTCTGACAGGCCCCGGGTTTAGGCTAGTGAACTTTTTACCTGAAGATAGAGGCTCAGAGAGTCAGGTGGCTGAAGGGCTGTCAAGACCGGCCTCGTCTGTGTGACGAACACCGCACAGACCTTTACAGGACATCCCCTCCCCCATCCACACCCTCCCCCTGACACACCCCCGTCTGAGAAGTCCGTAACCCGACAATACCCTGGAGTGTCTCCACACAGCTGGGAGGAGAGCCTGCCTGGTTCAGGCCTGGATGCTGCTTCTGCTACATCCCATGTGGGAACCCAGCCCATCTCCAGACTCCCCACACCCGCCTCTGGCAGAGACTCCCAAACTGCAGCATGGGAACCAGAGCCGGACTAGTTTCCTAAGTAAAGTTTTACTGGGACACAGCTGTGACTGTTTATACCAAGTGACTGACAATGTGTGGCCTGTAGTGGATTGAATGTACAATGGCCACGTCAGGCCTTTGCTTCAAACACTTGGCCACTAGTTGGCAGTGTTACTTTGGAAGATGGTGAAGACTTTACCAGGTGGAGGCCAGCTGCAAGAGGGAGGCCATGGGGACGGGCTTTTGAGGGATTGTGCTGGTGAACACTTCCTTTCTGCTGTTTTCTGTTACCCATGAGGTAGATCGATCTCTGACACACTCACTGACCATCACAAAGCTCTGCACAAACACACAGGGCCACGTGACCCTCTCGGAAACTGTCAAGCTGAGACACTCTTCCTCTTTGAGTTGTTTCTGTCCCGTATTTTGTCACTTTTGCAATGCAAAACTAACAAAGACACTTGCAAAAGCCTAAAAACTACTCGCTGAAAGGCCCCACTTCCTCTGACATTCTGGGGTACTAGGGACTGAGGCTTCGGCATCTGAATTTTAGGGGAGCACACAGACTCATCCCACGAAACCAGCTTTCATCGCCTAGTTTCCGTTTATCCTTAAAGACCAAAATCGAGGCTTAGTTATGTGGTGGCTGACCTCCAAGATTGCTGCCCTCAAGCCACGCTTCCTGATTCTCATCTGGCCCCAAAGACTCAGTTGCTGAGCCGGAATGACTTGTGCGACCAACACAACGTTGTCTCCACGGTACTAGGACTCTGGGGTTACACAACTCGAATGTTGCTTCTGCCCTTGCCTCCTCTCCCATCATTGGCGCTGAGGTTGCGCTGGCCACCACGGAAAGATGTGCGAGCAGCTCCGAGGGAAAAGAGGGCTGTCTACCAACAGCAGACCCCAGTGTGTGCGTGCCTGTGTGCTGCGCTGGACCCCAGGCTGTAGGCCTGACGGACGTTCTGGTTGAAGTGCAACAACCGACCCCATTGGGAATGGATCCCACCAACAGCGATTATGTTATGAAGGGCTTGGTCCTCAACGAAAGCCACAATCAGAGCTGGAGCTTTGGGCTAACTGACCAGATCCTGAGGGTGTGGACTTAGTCAATGAATTAACCGTTTGTTTGTTTGTTTGTTTGTTTGTTTGTTTGTTTGTTTGTTTTGCATGGGAGCACACTCGTACGTGTGAACGCAGGCACACATGTGCCACAGTATGTCTGCAGAGGTCACAGGGCGGCTTCAAGGTTCGGGCTTCACCATCCACCTTATGTGGACGGATCCCCTTGCTGGTTTCCGTTGAGTACTCCGGGCTGGCTGGCCTGGGGAGCCTCCCACCCTTACTTCCTGTCTTCCTGTAGGCATGCTGGGATCACAGATGCTTATCCTGTGCATCCGGCTTTTACACAGGTAGGTCCTGGGCTTTTACACGGGGATTCCAACCCGGGCCTCATGGTGTTTATGCAGTAAGTGCTTTTTCCCACCGAGTCATCTGCCTACGGAGTCCTAGTGTGACGCCTGAAAGGAAGGACAGCCCTGGACACACCAAGACCAAGTTCTCAGTACAAAGGAAGTTTACTTGCCCCAGAGGGACAAAGGGCAGGGAATAAGAGACAACGACAGGAGATAGAAGACGAGGGAAAAGGGGAAAGCAAGAAGGGAAAGAGGGGGAAGGGATATCTACCCTGGAGGGCCGAAGGACTGCTTCTGGAGAGAGGAAGCAGACATGGCCCCACAGGCAAAGAACAGTTTATAAAGGGAAAGCGCAGCGTCAGGATGAGTTGGCTAATTGTGATTGGGCATGTTAATTAGGGTAGCCAAAAGGGGCTTTTCATCGCTGAGCTTCCACGCTTTGATATTGATAGCCGTATTTTGGTAGTCAGCTTCAAGAGGAGGAAGCGGCCAAATAAGGGAATGGACAGCCGGTGGCTCGCTTTAGGAAGGTGAGCTAACGGTTTAGCGAGATCGAGGGAACGGTGCAGAGGGTGAAAAGCAGAACCTGTCGGCACCGGCACCGTGTCTGCTCTGCTTCTGTCAGTGTCTGCACGGGACTGCACCGGCCCTTCAGTGGCATCATCGGGGGCAGCAGAAAGTGGGAGAGGGGGTGGTCAGAGGAAGTCAGTCACTGGGGACGGGGGACCCAATTTGAGTAAGGGAACTTACTCAATAAAAACTAAAGCAGGTCGGGCGTGGTGGCTCACACCTTTGGTCCCAGCACTCAGGAGGCAGAGGCAGGCGGATCTCTGTGAGTTCCAGGCCAGCCTGGTCTACAAAAACAGGTCTAGGACGACCAGGGCTGCACAGAGAGACTGTCTCGAAGGTCTGGTGGCACACACCTTAATCCCAGCACTTGGGAGGCAGAAGGCAACTTTGTCTACATAGAAAGTTCTAGGCTACGTAGTCAGACCCAAAAGCAGAGGCTCAAGTTGAGTCACAAAATGACAACCTGTCTCAAAAATCAATTTAAAAAATGTATGGCGGGGTCACACATGCCTGTGGTCCCTGCACTCGGGAGGCAGAGACAGGCAGATCTCTGTGAATCTGAGGCCAGCCTGGTCTACAAAGTGAGTCCAGGACAGTCAAGGCTACACAGAGAGATCCTGTATCAAACCCTCATCCCCCCCCCACACACACACACACACACACTCCAAAAGTAAAAATTTAAGGGCCTTGCCTTCCTCTTTCCAGCATTTTGGCTCCTGTGGAGGCCTGCTGGGAACAGGACTTCTTAAAGTCTTGTTTTCCTAATTGATACAAAGGCTGGGAGGCTACGGTACAAGGCTATTTCTGCTGACTATAAGCAAGGGTCCCAGAACCAAAGAGAGTATGCTGCACGCCTGTAATCCCAGCACTCGGGAGGCAGAGGCAGGCGGATCTCTGAGTCCGAGGCCAGCCTGGTCTACAGAGAGAGTTCCCGGGACAGTCAGGGCTACACAGAGAAACCCTGTCTTGATAAACAAAGCAAAGCAAAACAACAACAACAAATTGAAGATGTCTATGCCCCAGCTGTATTCTTCTTAGGCAAGAGGAGATGTACTCATGTGTATAAAGAAAAAAAAAAAAAACAAACAAACAAGACAACAACCACCACAAAACCAATATCATGACTCCTGAAGGCAA